GTTGAATAGTAGTGGTGAGAGTGGACCTCCTTGTCTTGTTCCTGATCTTAAAGGAAATGCTTTCTGTTTTTCACCATTGAGAATAATATTGAGAATAATGTTTGCTGTGTGTCTGTCGTATATGGCCTTTATTATATTGAGGTAGATTCCCTCTATGCCCACTTTCTGGAGAGTTTTTTATCATAACTGGGTGTTGAATTTTGTCAAAACTTTTTTCTGCATCTATTGAGATGATCATGTTTTTTATTCTTTAATTTGTTAATATTGGTGTATCACATTGATTGATTTGTGTATATTGAAGAATCCTTGCATACCTGGGATAAATCCCATGGTACATGCTCCTTTTAATGTGCCGTTGGATTCTGTTTGTTAGTATTTTGTTGAGATTTTTGCGTTTATGTTCATCAGTTATATTGGTCTATAATTTTCTCTTTTTTGTGATATCTTTGTCTGGTTTTGGTATCAGGATGATGGTGGCCTCATAGAATGAGGTTGGGAGTGTTCCTTCCTCTGCAATTTTTTGGAAGAGTTTGAGAAGGATAGGTGTTAGCTCTTCTCTAAATGTTTGATAGAATTCGCCTGTGAAGCCATCTGGTCTTGTACTTTTGTTTGTTGGAAATTTTTTAATTAGTTTCACTTTCATTACTTGTGATTTTTCTGTTTCTATTTTCTAATTCTTCCTGGTTCAGTCTTGGAAAGTTGTACCTTTCCAAGAATTTGTCCATTTCTTCCAGGTTGTCCATTTTATTGGCATATAGTTGCTTGTAGTAGTCTCTTATGATCCTTTGTATTTTTGCGGTGTCAGTTGTAATTTCTCCTTTTCTCCTTTTTCATTTTTAATTTTATTGATTTCAGTCCTCTCCCTTTTTTTCTTGATGAGTCTGGCTAAAGGTTTATCAATTTTGTTTATCTTTTCAAAGAATCAACTTTTAGTTTTATTGATCTTTTCTTTTGTTGTCTTCATTTCTATGTCAGTTATTTCTGCTCTGATCTTCATGATTTCTTTCCTAATAACTAACTTTGGGTTTTTTGTTGTTGTTGTTGTTCTTCTTTCTCTAGTTCCCTTAGGTGTAAGGTTAGATTGTTTATTTGAGATTTTTCTTGTTCTTGATGTGAGATTGAATTGCTATAAACTTCCATCTTAGAACTGCTTTTGCTGCATCCCATAGGTTTTGGGTTATTGTGTTTTCATTGTCATTTGTTTCTAGGTTTTTTAAAATTTCTTCTTTGGTTTCTTCAGTGATCTCTTGGCTATTTAGCAGTGCACTGTTTAGCCTCCATGGGTTTGTGCTTTTTATAGTTTTTTTCCCATAATTGATTTCTAATCTCATAGCGTTGTGGTTGGAAATGATGCTCGATATGATTTCAATTTTCTTAAATTTTCCAAGGCTTGATTTGTGACCCAAGATGTGATCTGTCCTGGAGAATGTTCCATGTGCACTTGAGAAGAAAGTGTTTTGTGCCATTTTCTGGTGGAATGTCTTATAAATATCAGTTAAGTGTGTTTGGTCTGTTGTGTAATTTAAAGCTTGTGTTTCCTTATTTATTTTCTGTCAGGATGGTCTGTCCATTGGTGTAAGTGGAGTGTTAAAGACCCCCCACTATTATTGTGTTACTGTCAATTTCCCCTTTTATGACTTTTAGCATTTGCCTTATGTATTGAGGTGCTCTTATGTTGGGTGCATAAATATTTACAATTCTTATATCTTCCTCTTGGATTGATCCCTTGACCATTATGTAATGTTGTTCCTTGTCTCTTGTAATAGTCTTTATTTTAAAGTCTATTTTGTCTGATATGAGAATTGCAACTCCAGCTTTTTTTTGATTTCCATTTGCATGGAATATCTTTTTCCATCCCCTCACCTTCCGTCTGCATGTGTCCCTAGGTCTGAAGTGTGTCTTTTGTGGGCAGCGTATATACAGGTCTTGTTTTTATATGCATTCAGCCAGTCTATGTGTTTTGGTTGGAGCATTTAATCCATTTACATTCAAGGCAGTTATCGATGTGTGTGTTCCTATTACCATTTTCTTAATTGTTTTGGGTATTTTTCTGTGGGTCTTTTTCTTCTCTTGTATTTCCCACCTAGAGAAGTTCCTTTAGCATTTGTTGTAAAGCTGGTTTGGTGGTGCTGAATTCTCTTAGCTTTTGCTTGTCTGTGAAGCTTTTGATTTCTCCATTGAATCTTAATGAGATCCTGCTAGGTAGAGTAATCTTGGTTGTAGGTTTTCCCCTTTCATCACTTTAAATATATCCTGCCACTGCCTTCTGACCTGCAGAGTTTCTGCTGAAAAGTCATCTGAAAACCTTATGGGAATTCCCTTGTATATTATTTGTTGCTTTTCCCTTGCTGCTTTTAATATTTTTCCTTTGAATTTACTTTTTGTTAGTTTGAGTAATATGTGTCCTGGTGTGTTTCTACTAAGGTTTATCCTGTATGGGACTCTCTGTGCTTCCTGGACTTGGGTGGCTGTTTCCTTTCCCATGTTAGGGAAGTTTTCGACTATAATCTCTTCAAATATTTTCTCAGACACTTTCTCTTTCTCTTATTCTTTGGCACCCCTATAATTCGAATGTTGGTGTGTTTAATGTTTTCCCAGAGGTCTCTGAGACTGTCCTCAATTCTTTTCATTCTTTTTTCTTTATTCTGCTCCACGGCAGTTATTTCCACTATTTTATCTTCCAGGTCACTTTACCATTCTTCTGCCTCAGTTATTCTGCTATTGATTCCTTCTAGAGTATTTTTAATTTCAGTTATTGTGTTGTTCATCACTGTTTGCTTGTTCTTAAATTCTAGGTCCTTGTTAAAAATTTCTTTTATTTTCTCCATTCTGTTTCTGAGATTTTGTATCATCCTTCCTATCATTACTCTGAATTCTTTTTCAGGTAGGTTGCCTATTTCCTCTTCATTTATTTGGTCTTGTAGGTTTTTACCTTGTTCCTTTGTCTGTAATATATTTTTTTGCCATCTCATTTTTTTTTTTGATGGGTGGGGCTGTGTTCCTGTCTTGCTGGTTGTTTGGCCTGAGTCTTCCAGCATTGGAGTTTGCAGGCAGGTGGGTAGAGCTGGGTCTTGTTGCTGAGATGAAGACCTCTGGGAGGCCTCACTCCGATTAATATTCCCTGGGGTCTGAGGTTCTCTGTTAGTCCAGCGGTTTGGACTCAGAGCTCCCACCACAGGAGCTCGGGCCCAACCCCCGGCCTGGGAACCAAGATCACGCAAGCCAGGTGGCACAGCCAAAGACAAAAAGGAATAGAACAATAACAAAGAATAAAAGTAAAATAAAATTAGAAAAATAAAAAATATGTTATAAAAAATAAACGTATAAATGAAACAACAACAAGGTAAAAGAGAACCACAATAGCAAGAAAAAAACAACTAAAAAAAGGCCGGAAAAGGCCGTGGCTGTGGGAAGTGGAGTTTAGGCGGGGGGCAGGGCCTAGGCAGGGTGGGGCTTAGGTGGGGCGGGGCTTAGGCGAGGGGCAGGGCTTAGGCGGGGTGGCAGGGCTTAGGTGGGGGCAGACCTAGGCTCAGGACCCAAACAGCCAGAAAAGGCCCTAGGGGTGTGGGGGGCAGGGCTTAGGCTCAGCACCACACAGCTGGAGGGGGCCTTGGTGTGCGGAGGTTTAGTCCAGGACCCGAGTGGGCAGAGGAGATGCTGGCCATGTTCCCTTCTGATCCTCTGATCCCCCGAACATCTCTCCATGTCCCCCTGATCCCCTCGTAGTGAGTGGGCCCCTCCCCTCCCCCAACTGCCCCTTAGGTGTGTTGGTCCCCTCCCGCCTCTACTTCTCCTCCCCTCTCACTCCACTCCACATCCTACCCACTCACTCGGGGGTTCCCCCTGTCCCCTTAGGTGTCTGAGGTCCTGCACCAGTGCCTGGTAGGTGCCCTAGTTGTCAGGAGATGCAAACTTCGCATCCTCCTACTCTGCCATCTTCTCTTTTCTGTCTCCTGGAATTCTTTTCCATGAGAAAGGAATAATTCTAGTGCATTTTGTTTTCCTCATGCTTCTTGGATTCTCACCAGCAGGTTTTTACAGTCCATTGCTTGCCTCTCAGATTAGAAGAACGCTGGCATATTTTAACAGTTTCCTAGGATTCAAACAGCCTTTAATTAACAGCCAATTGATGCTTTGGAATGTTACCAAAGTATGAGAGACATAACAGGGAGATGGGCTCCTTTCAGCTTCTGAATGCAGTGGAATCCTAGAACAGGGGGCAGAGGTAGGAGTCCCTTGCAAACAGCCTTTGCCCACTGGTATGCAAGGGAGCTGTCTGTGTTGCCATAATATTCCATTGCCTGCTCATTGGTGACCTTCTAAATTCCACCTACTTATGACTGGGAAGGAAGGGGGCAGCTAGTCTTGAATGTTTAAAGCCACAGGGGTGCTAAATAGCTCAGGGATCACATGATATGTAGCTGGATTTGCTGGTTTTAACCCTCCAGTTGCCAGGGAAGTAAGGTACAGCTGCCTGCGTTTGCGTTAAGTTTCTTTTCTGTGCCAGGTTCATGTCATCTTGCTGCCAGAGTTTTAGATGCGGTGGAAAAGAGCAGCTCTGTAAAAGAATCCCTCAGACTGCATGTATATTTTGAGCAGGAGTTAGTTTTCAAAGAGGGATGGGGGAGCATTGGAGGGGTTTTCCCTTTGAATCAAGGGATGTTGCTTATAGATTTGTAGCTGACTTAGTCCCGGGTTGTAGGCAGGAAAAGAAGGATGGATTGGGGAGTATGAAATGTTTGAAATGTTAACAATTCCTTATGTAACCAGATAGTTTTAATCCAAGAGGGAAAAAGGAGCAGCTCAACTGGTTTTCTCTGCTTAATGGCACATCTGCTCGTTGGCCGGTTTCCAGTTGAGGTCAATACACTCCATGTCTTGTTTTTTCCAGTGACCCATAAAGCTGGCCTTTTGGTCTCAAAAGAGACCTTGGTGTTTGTGTGTTGTGTGTTTAATATGCACCATGTCCCTGATCGCTCCCTTTGTTCTCCTCTGTGCAGGTGGTACATGCCAGAGCCCCGCTCTCCCAGCCCTGGTCCGTCCACCAGCCCCTCCTTTGCAACCATCGCTGGATATTAAACCGTTTCTTCCCTTTCCTCTTGACACTGCGGCCGCAGTCAACCTCTTCCCCAATTTTAATGCGGTAAGTCCCACATCATCTGCATATGCCAGGGTGGTAGGTACTGGAAAACCTTAAGGGCCAGGAGTGAGCTGCTCACTACCTCTCATTTACTCTATGCTTTGTTCCGTAGATTGTCTGAAAGCACGTCAGGGTTAGTTGTCTGCCTGGTTGTGTAAGGTCCCCAGAGCCAGGCTCCTTCAAAGGGAAAATGAAAAGAGATGTAATCTGATTAGGTTGATCATGAATTCATGTCTCCCTTTTAGTGTCTTTTTGGACAACACTAACCATTTTATTAGTTTATTTTCCATGCCAAATTCAATTTAATTGAAATTTAATGAATGTGTTTAGAGAGCATTCAAATTCAAGTAGATGTCTAAAAACTTAAACATGTGTTTCTTCTCTCTGGGCCTTTTACTTTAATTTTCAAATCTGTTATTTCTTTTCTGATTTAATAAAGAGGACCCTTATAATCACACTAGAGATACATTTCATGTATACAGCACATTTTCTCTCTTAACTTAAAACAGTGTAGGGTTCTGGTACCAAGAATTTTCATTTTATTTTCTTCCTGCTCAGGCACAGTTCCTCAACTTAGGTCTTTCTTAAATGACCTTGTTTTGGGGGCTTTGTCAGCAGCCTTCTCAACAAAAGTTCAATACTTACTTACCTGTTTTCACTCTTAAGCATGTCTTTATAAGTGGACAGATTCCTCTTATTTATCATCATCTTTTTTTGTACAAGCAGTGAGAATATTCCTAGGATGGAAATAGAAATAAGGGTTGAAAAGGTTAGAAGCCAGTGAGTGACATTTTTTTTCTAATATCATCTGATTCAGCCTTCAGCCGTTGTTATAATGCAGGTCTGAGTTTATCAATGACAGGACATGTCAACACAACCAAGGTGAAGGGGGTTAGGACGCAAGGTCTCTGAATGCCCAGGGAGCTAAATAAAACAGATTTCTTACTGCAACATCTTACCCCCATGATGGATTTTTAAAAAATCTGCCCACAATTAGATCATTCTCCTTCAGGAGACAGAAGTGGGTCTTATTTATTTTAATCATGCTTTGTCATGGGGACTTTGGACCTGCCAAGGAGATGGTATGGTTACATACTAGCCTTTCCTAAAGGACAAGGGAAAATCACAGTGATTTCATTGCTTTGGGGAGCATGAAGGATTTTCCATAGGAATATTATTTTGAAATTGATGGAACCTAAATAGAACAGCATAAAGATCATATTTCCAAAGTAGAGGTTTCTAATTCTAGGTATTTCAATAAGAGTAGAGGAAAAAATTGCTCATAATCAAATTTCCTGATTCTTGAATCACCACAGTAAAGTCCCTGGGTTTCCTCTCTCTGAGCTCTTTGCCTGCTCCACTGTTAAGTGGCTTCTTGGCACCATTTTGCTTCCTGCCACCTGGAGATGATCCATCAGGGTGCTTTACCTGGCCTCTGAGACTACTTGGCCTCCTGTCCCTCATGTCTCATATCAGCTCTAGAGAAGCTGAGGTACAATTCCTGGAAGGTTGTAAAAGGCTGGGTTTTAAACTTTTGATTTGCCCTTTGGGAAACATTAAAAGCAAAATGATTAATTTGATTGGCAATGAGTATTATTTGTCATAAAACAAAGATGAGTGATATATGGAGCCATAGGACACTGAGCAAATGTCTTAATCCTCTTTGGTACTGTTTTGTCATCTTTAAAATAAAGGGAGTGGACCTGATAATCTCTTCCTTTGGGGTTATCCCATTCAAAATAGTTGAGCTTTTGTGGGCAAAGACAGCATTGCATGGTGGTCAAGTTGGACTCTGAGCTAGAATGACTGGGTTCAAGTCAGAGCTGCTACTCACCATCATCACGACCTTGGGCGAGTCACATAATCCTTATGTATCTCGATATCTTTGTCTGTAAAATGGGACTAATAACCTACTTTGTAGGCTTGTGGTCATGATTATGTGGGTTAAATCATTTAGAACAGGGCTCAGCATTAATAATCATTGCTTTAATGACAGGTATTATATTCATAAATAGCCTGTAAATCCTTATTTTGAATTTGGAGGTTCATTGACTAACTGATTGCCAAAGTTTTACTTGATTCTTTTTCTTCTATGATAATTTGGACTTGTGTTGTTATTTCTTTCATTTAAACCAAGAGACCCTCTGTTGCTCCACCTGTTGGTTATTTCCTTCTAGTGCTGGTCAAGCTGCAGCCAGTCATGGATTAAGCCATTCTTTGTTTCCAACTGAGTGGAATGGTTGCAAAGCCCCAAATCTGGTAGTTTTGGACTGAGAATTATGATATAGAGCATCTCTTTAAGTAACAGCCTGAGTTCTTGATTTTGTAGCAGGTGTGATTCTCAATCTACAAATTCAGGGTGTGTTAAATGTAACATTTGATTGCTGTAAGTTGATTTTATTTCTGGCTCAAAAGCCCATTTCATTAGTCTGTAGGGAAGTGAAATTTAATGGTTTCAGGATGTGCTAAGGCTCTAGAATCTAACAGATTATCCACCCAGCTTTTGGTGAGCGACTTCCTCTGTTCATCAAGTTATGTGTCCACATAGGCAATCATGGTATGATGAGCCCCTAGTGAGCATGGCCTTTTAGGCCCAAACTCTTGACTTTGAACACACAAACTGGTGAGGCTCTAGCGGTGCCTCCCGCCTAGATGTGCGACACTGCTATTACCTCTTTCCCACCCCACAATTTTCTTTCATCTGACCTTTTGAAACAAAGTCCATGGTGATCAGAAACTGTTTTCCTGTTATATTTCTTCTCTGAGTATATGAGTATAGAATGGTCTATTTGGGATAAAGTGTGGCAGAAAGGTAAAGGAAAGAAATTTCAGTTATATACATGTAACAAAATACACACGTGAATATCTGAGATTATTGTCCTTAAATAAGAGTATAAACCATTGGGTTCAGATGTGAGTCAGGAAGAATCATGAAACATCTGTTAAAAAAAACACACACAGGGCTTCCCTGGTGGCACAGTGGTTGAGAGGCCGCCTGCCGATGCAGGGGACACGGGTTCGTGCCCCGGTCTGGGAAGATCCCACATGCCGCGGAGCGGCTGGGCCCGTGAGCCATGGCCGCTGAGCCTGCGCGTCTGGAGCCTGTGCTCCGCAACGGGAGAGGCCACACAGTGAGAGGCCCGTGTACTGCAAAAACAAAGAAACAAACAAACAAAAAAACCAAACAAACAAAACAACACACACACAGTTATGAGAGAAACAGATGTAGGATATGACCTGGGCTATGGATATATAAAAGGACATTCAATAAAATCATTAGGATCCCTTAATATACTTAAAGCCAACTTTAAGGAATAGCAACAGAAGCCATTCCCTTGACCTAGGGATGTTGTATCTCTGGTTGTTCCAGTAGCTTTCAGACAAGAGAAATTTTCCTTTAATTCCTCATATACCCCTACTCTATCCTTCAATCTCTTCACTGGAGTTTCAGTGCTTAGGACCATTCTTATCCCAGTGATCCCATTCTGCGTGTGCATTTCTTGAAAGGAACCAATCCTGGAAATAGGTAAATGGTATTTAGTAATGAAATATTTCTTTTCTAAGTAGTGTGAGCTTGGTCCATTCAGTCAACTGCTAGTTATCAAGCATCTTCTATGTGCTAGGAATAGTGATAACAAAATTTATGTTATGACCTCTACCATGAAATAATTTAGTTTATAAAGGAGAAGCTGACAAATAAATAAATATTTATAAATATGGGTGCTTTTATAGAGAATGATGTCTAGGATAGAATGGCTGCTCAAGGACAGGAGTGAAAGGCTGTCCTTATGTTTGTCTTAGTGAGGGATTGGTGAGAAAAATAGAAACTATTCTAGGCATGCTGACAGGAAGGGAATTAATAGAAGGATTTAGATGCTTAAAAAACATTTGGAGGTGTTGGGCAAACAAAGGTCAGGGAAGGCTGTTGCTGGCTCTTGGTTTTTCTACTTGCTTTCATGGAGTCGGGAAGTTGCAGAAATACAGGATGCCTAGTAATCCCAGTTACTTTCATCCAAATCCCACGATTTTGGATTTTTTTTAAAAAAGATAACAATAGATTATAATCCATTGAATAAACTATGAATCCATGATTCCACACAGATATAATTAAACACAGAGAAGGTAAAGCTTTTACTTCCAGTAGAATGCCTGTGAATAAATGTAGGAGGAAAAATGAAAATAAAAAATTGGCATTTGGCAAACATTCAAGTTATTCAGCCAGGGGACATATAGGGAACAGGATATTTACACAGTCTCCAGATATTTCCACACAAATACCTACTAATTACAAAGAAAAAAAGGAACTTTACAGTGGAGAAACCTAGCAGGCACCATCTTACTCAAATGAACAGTGTTATCATCTGTAATTCGGCAAATAAAGACCATGTGCCACCCAGTAGGACACGATAAGACAGCTTCACTAATGTGATATCTGAAAGACGTGTATCTCGAGTACTTAGTGGGCTCTTGCACTGAAAATTGCTGGCCGAGATCTGTGGGAACGTACGCCTCAGGCTTCCTGTCTCTAGGATGTAAGGGGGAGCACATAAGAGCGGAAGCAGTGCTGAGTTGCCAACAGAAGACTTGACATGATGGCAGAATGGAAAGGACTATTGAGAATCAGAAAAGCTAGAAGTTTCTGCAATCTTGGGCAAGAAGCTAAGTCCATTGGAGCCCCAGTGTCCTGTGCCAGAAAAGGATAGTGGCTAACTATCTCTTAGGTTTGTTACCAGCAAGGTAGCTGAGTTTTAAAATGCTGGAAATGGAAGCAGAGAATGGGCTTGGGTAAGACCTTGGGATATTGTTTAGATTGGAGCTAACCTGTAAAAAATGGCTATACTCCCTGACAATTTTCTCCAAAGGTCTCTGAACTGCCTTTTTGTTTTTCATGTCTCTAACATATTTTCTTCATATTCTGCTCAGTAGTCATGACAATAATGAACATTGAGAATATCATTGAAAAGTACAAGTTTTGGAGGACATGTTGATGGGAGCTGACAGTG